TTTCTGGATCAGGCAAATTCATATCCACTGTACCACCAGGGAAGTCTGAGAATGTGGCGTTTTTAAATGACTTTTCTTACTACCGTTATTATTGCTAGTTAACTCTGGCATTAAGTTTGGGCAGGGGTACGTTTGAAACAGTTTGTTGAGGTTTTCAAATGACCCTTTAGTGGAAAGTGGAATATGTGGAACAAGACTGCTGCATGGAGATGGCCAGGGTTGAGGGAGAGTAGCCAAATGTCCCCAAGAAGGTAACAAAATCTTATCGATCAAACATTTGCACTTAATTACAAAAAGTGTGTATTTAATGTCCATAAATTATCTACCTGTCAGTGGTCATCTTTTCCTTTAACATGCAAAAATAACCTTTTTCTCAAGTCCCCAACAACTGAGAATTGTCTGGTGTTCCGTCTGGTTATTTTTAGGGTTTGTTGGCCTGTGTATTCCTGGCTTTCTTTTAGTCTGAATTCCTGCTTCTTCTGGATTCATAGTTACACTAGTGGCCAGTATTCCTCCTTCTATGCACTCCTCTCTTCCTTTTTTCACTCTCCCATTAGTTAGGGTTCTTTTTGCTGCAAATGACAGACACACACCAAGAAGGGGATTCGCTAGTTCACAGACCTAGGACAGTAGGGATGCTCTTTCACTCTCTGTGTCTCTCTCTTTCTAACTTCCATCTCTGCCTGGCTTCATTCTCTCTCATGACATTCTCTCCCTAGCTGGGTCGATGGCTGCCTGCGACCCCAGGCCTCCATGCTCACGACTTTCTAAGCACGAGGACAGTAGAGAAATACCCCTACCATTCCAGCTGGGGAAACTCAGGTGAGGGACTTTAATTGGCCCAGCTTAGACCCAAAGCCCGTATCTTGGTTCAGTCCCCAGGTGCGAAGGGACATGGTGTTGTGATTGTCTGGCCTGGGTCGCATGTCTAACTCTGAGTAGGGCGGGGAAATGGGGATGCTATGATTAACTGCTCTACCACATGAAGTGGGAGGTGCTCCCCAGATGCAAAGGGGTGTTGTTACCCCTTCACAGGAAGACAGCAGACCGCAACAAGTGCTTCTGCTGCCCACCGCGGGCCACAGACATGGCCCAAGCAGCTCCTGCCCGCTCCACCCACCAAAGCATCGCCAAGGCAAGGCCATTTTGTGCAACAGCCCCGTCCTCGAGATGACGGATGACAAAGATCAGTGGTGGAATGATAGCCGCTGTGCAGTGTTAATATCAAATGGTGTTTAAAAGTCCCTGAGCCCACCCCACCAGCCTGCTGGGTCAGCGGGCATATTGCTGGAGGCTGTGCTCTGTCCCGGGTCATGCTCCTCCGTCGCTTCCCTCAGCGTCTGAGGGCCCCAGCTAGCCGCCCACCTGAGCATCCATGGGACGCAGTCCCAAGTTTCTGCTGCTTTCTTGTACACAGCCACTGAATTCTTCATTTTCCTCCCTTCTAGGCTTATGCTTTTATGGCCCCCAAAACTCATCAAGGTGTTTTCATAAATGAAAGAGCAAATTCTCCCTTAGGAAGAATCTTTCTAAGGATATTGTGATCTCATGATTATTAATAAGTAATATATATGTTTGCTCTTCATCTAGCTCCTGGCACGCAGCTCCCAAAACCCTTGTAATTTCCTAAGTGATAAGAGCAATGGGAACGTCTTATTATTATTTTTTTAATAGTATTTGGTCTTTTGCCCTCAAAGACCTCCAGTTCCTGAAGTAGCTCCAGAGTGAGAAAGGCAAAAGGAACCTCTTGTCATGAATAACAAGGACTTCCCTGGTGGCTCAGATGGTAAAGAATCTGCCTGCAATACAGGAGACCCGGGTTCCATCTCTAGGTCAGGAAGATCCCCTGAGGAAGGAAACGCCAACCCACTCCAGTATTCTTGCTTGGGGACGCCAATGGACAGAGTAGTCTTGCAGGCTACAGTCCACGGAGTCGCAAAGAATCGGACATGACTGAGTGAGTTTCACTTCACTTTCAACCACACCTGAGTTTGTGTTATGGAGGTGATTTTTGGAAAGCCCTTAGATAACCACAGGATGAGGACTGGTCACCAGGGGAATCAAGCAGGTGGTTAGCTGGAAATTTCAGCCCCCTCCAACCCTCCCACTGCCGACCTCCAGGGAGGGGATCGGGACTGGGGATTGAGTTTAATCATGATTGGCCAATGATTTAATCAATCACACCTACATAATGAAGTCTCCGTAAAAACCCCCTAAAGTGCAAGGTTCAGAGAGCTCCTGGCTTGGTAAAGAGGAGAAGGTGCTGGGAGAGTGGCGCCCAGAGCCGGCCTGGGAGCTCCACATTCTTCCCCTGTGCCTTGCCCTCTGCATCTCTTCCATCTGACTTTTGCTGAGTTACAGCCTTTATAATAAACTGGTAATCTAGGGAGTAAACTTTTCCCGAGTTTTGTGAGCTGCTCTGGAAAATCAATCCACCCCGAGGAGAAGATCATGAAACCTCCAATTCACAGCCTGTCCATCAGAAGCACAGACCGGGCTTGCTCCACTTGCTGAACACTAAATCAGCCTTAAGGCTGATGACAAGAAACGAGGGCAGTGGGCAGAGCGGAAACACTGACAGAAACACCTGGCATAGAGGTTGGTTGCAGTTGTGCGGTGGTTAAGGACCATTACAACAATATCATCAAGGAGTACTTCAAATGCAAGAAATGAACAAACAAAAACCCTGACCCTAGTTAGATACATATATTAATTGAATAATTAATTTGTTAAAGGATGCCTGATCTCATTCCCTTCCAGCACCTGCCATTCAAGGATTCGACTCTTGGGCCAGATAAACATAGGAAGCGATCCTCTATCATAAACATGCTTCTCAACTCCAAGCCAAAGGCGCACTTTCTACTCAGCTGGTTAACTCTTCTCATCCTGGATGGCTTGTTCTTGAATCATTTCTCTGGTGTGTTGGATAGACTTCTGAGCTGGGGCTGAGACCTGGCATCTCTCTCATTGCCTGACGTGAGCACATCTCCATGCCCTGTCTGGGCGTGCTTCGCCTACTGTCATACTAATAGTGCATTTTTTCCCTGTTAGCCCGTGACTATGAAAGTGCTTTGAACAGTAAAGAATGCTCTCCCTATGCAGGTGTTTATGAAGTGCACACATTCCTATGCATCTCCCTTCTTTCTTTCCAGAACATGATGTCAGCATCGAGCCATGTACTGACAGACTACCACCGACGGGGCTCAGCAGAGTCTGCCAGACAAGACTGTTCTGCTCAGACGCTGGTTCACTGTGAATTGTTTAGAGAAGAAATGCTTTAAGGTAAAGGACGAGGAAGCTTGCCAGGGATGTTCAATGGGATCTTGTAAACATTTGTATTCCAAATGACTGTTATTGTTTCTTATTCCGGGCTCTTTTTAAAGAACTGAAAAGGCTGTGCCCCCATTGTCGGTAAGAGTTCAGACGTGCATGCCAGCCTCATTCTAGGCTGGGCTGGCAGATACTGCTAGTGGCCTTTCCACTATCCATCCTCTCCTTTCGTCTCCTTACCAAGAGAACCCTAATTTTTCTTAAGGCAGCATGATGCCCAATTACATATGCTCACCTTCCCAGACTCCCTTGCAGTTGGGAGTGACCATGTGACCCAATTCTGGCCGATGAGATGGTGCAAGTCCCTAGGTAGGGGCCTCCAGAAACTTTTAAAGGGAAGAGTCTTACCTCGCATTTGCCTTTGTTTTTTCCTTTTTTATTTAAAACGCACCCATCTTGTCTCCATGAACACAAAAGCCACATGCTAAAGATAGGAAAGTAGGGAAATACAATGATTGCAGTTTCTTGTCACCCTTACCTGCTGATGTCTTACGTAACAACAGTCAATTAAACAAACATATAGAAAGCCTGTATGGTTAATCCACTGTAATTAAGTTACTGTTCCATGCACTCAAACATAGTCTTAACTGATAGACTCCGCTAAGCTGTTTCATGTGCCATGTATAATAGAAAATGGATGCAAATCGACTGTAGAGTTTTTTGATCAGTGCGGCTCAAGCTTTCATGTGCATGTACATCACCTGGAGAGCTTGTTGAAAATGCAGATTCTGATTCAGTAGGTCTGGATTGGAGTTGAGATTCTGCACTTTTCTCACAAGCTTGCAGCTCATGCTGATGACGCCAGTCCTGGGCCACACTTTGAACAGCAAGGATTAGAAAATGACAGCTCTTTTGTCAGGCTGCTCCTACCCTAAGCTACTCTGCTCTCCTTTGATATGCTTATGATTCAGGTAAAAATCTGCAGAGGACTCAATGCATTTTCACAAAACATTAAGGTTTTATTTAGAACATCCTTTCAGAGACAAAAAGCAGTTCATGTTGTTTAGCAAAATAAATCAACAAATGTATTTAAATAAGGGAAATTCAAGACTTTTGTGGATTTTCCCCCTTAATTATTTGATTTTTGCCAGTTGGAATTTCTGTCTTCCAGCCTGAGTGCTTTCCAAGTTAATTCAGCTATAATCCAAGGAACTGCTTTATGAAATCCACATGACTCAAAGTCCCTCTGTATTCTCACTCAATGTATTAAATGAAACACAAGGAAAATGACTTAGGGAAGTGGAATTAGAAGGAAATACGTCTTTCTCTTGGTCATGTTGTCTTTTCAAGAGAAGCCTTGACCATTCTGAAATGGATGTTAACAGTAAATTGTTACTGGGAGGTGATGGTCAAAAGGAAACTTAGGTGGTTTTTAACACCATCTGTCATCATGACTCAAAAGGAAATGCCAGCCACACCATTTGCAGTCACACCTCTGCTTTACACAGAAGCTGCTGCACATAGCTTCCTATGTGCTTGCACACAGAAAAATTGTTATTATCTTCTCTAGTTATGTACATTTAAAAAAATACAACATTGTGTTAAATAGCAGGACAGCTAACAGTGGGACACAACAATGCTACACTGAAAAACCAAAATAGCTTGATGAAGCTGAGAAGAGAAATAGCAGATGGTCTTCATGAAGGGGAGCGCCAGTGCCCACCACCTCCTCAGTCTGTGACGGATCTGCACTCAGAGGGTAGGCCTTCAGACCGCCGCCACTGGGCCAGGCGCTGCTTGAACCATTTCTGGAGGAGGAAAATGTGCAAGATTACTTGTCACAGATTGAAAAATGCCCATTCCCTTTCTCCCTTTCTCAGAGTAGCTTCTGTGACCCAGTTGTAAAAAAGGAAAGTTAGAACAAGCCCATGGGGCTGGATCTTCTCACTGTGATCCTTACCTTTCTGCCTCGGGACCTTTGCACATGCTATTTCTTATGCTTAAATAAAACCTTCTCACTGAAGCCTTCCCTGACCATTTTATCTAAAGTAGATTCTCTATCCATCTCCTTAGTTTCTGTTTTAATACTTGGTTACCTTCACAGAACTTTGAATATCTGTAATGAATTCATTAACTTGTGCATTCACTTGTTTTTAGTCTACATTTCGCTCTAAAAGATAAGAGCCGTGAAAGCAGAGTCTGCATCTGGTTTACCACTATTAGCCCCTCGCATAAGGGCTTAACAGAGATTAATCAAAGTTTGTTGAATGATAAAAAAGATCAAAGCATCTCCTTGTTGCCCCAGATAAATCTATATAGCTGCTTTACCTCATCAATGTGGGGTGATCCCAAGGGCCTCAGTCATCCACCAGTGCTTCATTAGCATTTGTCTAATAAAATGAATGAAAAACTAAGCACTGGCCAACCTTGGGGCACTTCTTTTGGGGGAATCTATGGAGGGGTCTGGTCCAGTCTTTCCTGCTCTAGAGCTGCTGAACAGTGAGGAAAGATAGAGTAAAACTCCCAGTTTACTCAAAATCTTCTAGATCTGTGTGACCCAAATATTCATACCTCACAAAATTAACCATGGATTTAGAAAAGCCTCAGATGGGATAGTTCTAGACATGGTACCAGGTGAAGGCTAAAACATTCTTCATATGTTGTAAAACTGCCTTACAACATATCAGTCAGTTCAGTTCAGTCACTCAGTCGCTTCTGTCTCTTTTTTGACCCCATGGACTGCAGCATGCCAGGCTTCCCTGTCCATCACCAACTTCTGGAGCTTATTCAAACTCATGTCCATTGAGTCAGTGATGCTATCCAACCAATTCCTCCTCTGTTGTCCCCTTCTCTTCCCACCTTCAATCTTTCCCAGCATCAGGGTCTTTTCCGATGAGTCAGTTTTTCACGTCAGGTGGCCAAAGTATTAGAGTTTCAGCTTCAGCATCAGTCCTTCCAATGAATATTCAGGACTGATTTCATTTAGGATTGACTGGTTTGATCTCCTTGCAGTCCAAGAGACTGTCAAGAGTCTTCTCCAACACCACAGTTCAAAAGCATCAATTACAACATATAGAGATGCCTTTATTACACCACTGAGATTATACCATTGGAGAAGGAAATGGCAACTCACTCCAGTATTCTTGCCTGGAAAATTCCACGGACAGAGGAGCCTGTAGGGGCTATAGTCCATGGGGTCACAAAGAGTCAGACACAACTGAACATAAGTAAGTGTTAGTCGCTCAGTTGTGCCCGACTCTTTACGACCTCATGGACTACAGCCCACCAGGCTCTTCTGTCCATGAGATTTTCCAGGCAAGGATATTGGAGTGGGTTGCCATTTCCTTCTGCAGGGGATCTTCCCAACCCAGGGATTGAACCCAGGTCTCCTGCACTGCAGGCAGATTCTTTACTGACTGAGCTACAGCATGCTTGTATATTATTATACCACCGAGGGGTGAGGAATTCTGCAAAGGGGAAATGAGAAGATCCACGCTGGGGAAGAGTCGGGGGTATGAACAAGGTTGGCCAGAAGGGATCTGGATTTTTAAGAAAACAGCATTGAAGAGGGAAGAGTAAAGGCCTAGAAGAAGCAAGCGTTGATCCACATGTGGACGATGAGAAGAAGACTCTACGGGAGGGACGGAACCTCTCGGCTTTACTCTCCTGTGCTTCCCAACCTTTCACACAACGTGACGCACTGTTTTTCCACCTCACAGCTTGAGCAGGTGACCGCTGGGGGCTCTGCCATCCTGGGCCCTGCCAACAGGAAGCTCTATTCTAACCAACTGGCTCTGAGAACTTGAGGAAGTTAGAGCGCCAATCAGCTCAACTATAAGTGAAGAGGGAAGCTTAGGGAGTTTCTATTGTCCTGGTTAGGGTTTCTAACACTTACCTATTCCTGGGACTTCCCTGGTGGTCTGGTGGTTAAGAATCCACCTTGCAATGCATGGGATGCAGATTCAATCCCTGGTCAGGGAACTAAGATTCCACATGCCTGGGGGCAACTGAGGCCATGCACCACAGCTAGAGGGTCTGTGCATTGCAACTAAGCCCCAATACAGCCAAATAAACAAACACAGATTAAAAAACAAAATGAACTTAAAATGTACCTATTCTAGGGGCCAGTAGATGAGGGGACAGAAAGGAAGCAGAGAGAAAGAACACAGCTGTGGGACGGATGCCAGACCTCGGATGTGCTGATGGAGATGACGTAGAGAGTGTGTGGGGACACCTAGATGTCTCTGACTTAGCACAGCCTCCCAACAAACAGGATGGGCTCCAGGGCCACGCTGGGGGAGACCTCATCTCTACAGAGATCTAGGGAGTCACAGGGCACTTCAGCAGACACCCAAGATGAGAAGAAAGGGCAAGGACCACAGGGGAAGGAGTGCTTCTGTGTCTCAAGGCCTGAGAGCTCGAAGGAAGCGAGGAGACAGGATGGTCGAGGGTCTGCACCAAGGCTCAGCTGGCTGAAGAGCAAGGGACCACGCCTCTCCGTCACCCTAACTGTTCAACAGAGTCTACACACTGACGCCGTTACACAGTCACTGAGATCTGCGGTCTTACACACCTGGTACTCTTGGTGTGGCGGCATATTGCTCTTAGGGAAACCTTCTCTTAGGGGTTGCTTTCTGGATGCAGTATCTCACTCCTGGGGGGGGGTCTCCCTCCTTAAGGAGAATAGAGAACTCATGTATTTTTGGTGGCCTTAACCAATGTTCTGGGTTTCCCTGGTGGCACAGATGATAAAGAATCTGACTGCAATGCCAGAGACCGGGGTTCGATCCCTGGGTGGGGAAGAGCCCCTAGAGAAGGCAATGGCTATATACTCCAGTACTCTTGCCTGGAAAACTCCATGGGCAGAGAAGCTTGGTGGGCTACAGTCCACAGGTTCAAAAAGAGACACATCTGAGCGACCAACACTTCACACTTCAGCCCATGTTCTACTGCTAAAGATGGGCATATTCGCTTTGGTGATCCATGCGTGTATTTGGTTAACTCTGGAATCTGGTGTGAGAGCAGTATGGTTCTGGTTCCACTCTCATTAATGAGGTGCCTCTGCAGGGGTTTTGCGGCTATAAGGTCTGATTCAACAGAATTTCCAGTTACTAGAGCTGAATAAACGGCAGAGTTTTACAGAGCAACTAATTAAAATTTGGAGGGAGAAAGGCTCATTTTCTATCAGGATTCATTTAGGACAAAATGATTGAGCTGGACTCATTCAGAAGAGCCAATTCTTACATGAGTAATGAAGCAGAATATTAATATACAGTTACTGAAAATAACTTCAGCAATGACCACATCTGTGAATCGGTGAGTTGGCATCCAAATGCTTAATAAATTGAACCCTAGCATTGGGGGATCAGGGAGGCTCAATAAAAGCTCAGCTATTTTCTAAAGATATATATTTTAAATCACACACATGTATAATAATTTAGCAAACCAGCAACAAAAAGCATTAAACACCTTGCTTGCTTTTTTTCACCTTCAGAGTGAAATCTTATCACATCTCACTCATGTCGAGACTAATTTTCCACCTGGTTTTTCTCCTCCTCTTTGTTTTGGTCAGTCATCCCCTGGGAAAGACATTCATCCCTTGCTTGCTTATAAATGGATGCCCTCATTAGCCTCACCCATTGATGGAGATTTATTTACTCCAAGGGAACAGATGATAATTAGACCCTATGATGTAGAAGGGTTAAGGCAAAATAACATTGTTCCTGTCCTTTTCTCCAGTAACTAACATTTCATTCTTTTTAGGAGGAGACCTTTAAAGGTTTTTTTTTCACTGATGAAACATCTAACAACTAAAACCAGGGTTCTGGGAAGAATCCCAGGATGTTAAGAGGAGATAAAAATTCTGGAAACCAATCTAAGAACCAATGCCAACTACACTGGGATTGAATCAGTGACAATAGAAAATGGAAGATCATCCTAACCTCCCAAGGGGCTGATGAGAGCTTTCCCAACCCCTTCTCACACTGACTTCAAAATAATAAAAGACACAGGGATTGGGATTCTGTAAAGTTTATCTAATTTAAATATAGGGGAAATCTAATTACTGTCATGAGAAAAAAATCCATTCTGGGACTGAAGCTGAAGCTCCAGTACTTTGGCCATCTGATGCAAAGAACTGACTCATTAGAAAAGACCCTGATGTTGGGAAAGATTGAAGGCAAAAGGAGAAGGGCACAGCAGAGGATGAGATGGTTGGACAGCATCATGGTCTCGATGGACAGGAGTTTGCTCCAACTTTGGGACCTAGTGAAGGACAGGTAAGCCTGGTGTGCTGCAGTCCATGGTGTCCCAAAGAGTTAGACATGACTGAACAACAACAAGGATCCCAGCAAATGCACCTTAAAAAGTTATTCCCATTAGAGCATCCTTCACGTCATGCTGGGTTCCTGCTGGTGTCCCCTCCAAGTAGAGAACATTGTCCTACAGTGGACAGCCATAAAGGTGTCAAAGTCCCCAGTCAGGGGACAGTTTAACCTTTTAGTCCCTCTTACTTTTGCCCAAGTATCAGAAGTGTGAATCAGCTTGAGTTAACTGTTAATATCTCACAGTAGCATAGCATGCTTATTTTTCTTTTCCTAGTATTCCTTGTTCTAGGAAAAAGAATATGAATCCAATTCTGGAAGTGGGTGGTATTAGGCATAAAGGGAGCAAGCATGTGAAATAAATATTATCTTGGCTTTGACGACCTGCTCTTATGGAAAAAGGCAACATTAATAAAGAAAAGAAACAGAGAAAGCATTGATACCAGACACTGCCTATACACAGGCCTAGCACACTCTGGCCTCCATCAGTTATTTAAAGGGTCCCTCCAGGAAAACCATTCCCACCCACCAGTGCCCACGGGCGTGGGAGGGCTGGCAAGGGGTTAAGGGGATGGCGGGGGTTGGCCGGGGAGGACGGGAAGTTGGAAGATGAGATCCAATCTGATAAGAGACGACAGAGGGTCACCTAGGAAGCCTCTTCCTCTGAAATTGCTAAATTTCGCTTCTCTCTGAGCTCTGGGGTCTCAGATGCTTCCTTGTGGTTGGTGCTGGAAGACAGAGGGGTAAAGCCGAGCTGTGGCAATGTCAGGGAGGAAGAAGGTGTTGGCCTTGTGGCAGGAAAAGGAAGCGAAGGGCCCTGCTATGAGGCTGACTCATCCCCGCCAAGGCTCACTTCCGAGCTGGGTCGACCATTTGCCCATTTGAGGGTGGAAGAAGAGGTGAGATGGGAGAAGGGCTGCCTGAGAGGGTGGAGGAAACTGCTGTGTAGGGGCCTGAACTGGCTGATCTTGATTACAGAAGGGTGCCCTCTCTTTCTTCCTGCCTCAAACCTGATTTCAGTTCAGTTCTCTCATATAAGGCATATCCTGAGGAAAGACTGAATGCAGCCTGAGATGACTGTCATTTATGGTATAGTTTGTTTTTTTTTTTTTTCCAGGAAGAAAGAGAACATAAATTGAATTTTCAGTCCTTTCCTCCCACCCCACCCAGTTGTTTCCATTTCTCTTCTGTGGGGAGAAAACAGCAAGGTGTTTCAGCATCCAGGCCAGGGGGCCAGACTCCCAGGGAACAGATCCCAGCTCTGCCCCCTCCCAGCTGTGGTCTTAAGCAAATTATTTAACCTTTCTGTGTCTCATTCCCTTATCTGTGCAATGGGCCAAAAGTACCTACTTCACAGCATTGTTGTGGAAAACAAAGGATTTAATACTTAGAGAATACCTGGAACAATAGGTGGCAAGTATCATCTCTTCTAAAGGTCAACGTAATTATTCTGTTTTACAGGTAAGGGAATGACAGCAACTTGCCAAGGGAGAATCTGACTCAGATGATAAAGAATCTGCCTGCAATGTGGGAGACTCAGGTTCAATCCCTGGGTGGGGAAGATCCCCTGGAGAAGGGAATGGTGACCCACTCCAGTATTCTTGCCTGGAAAATCCCACAGACAGAGGAGCTTGGACATGACTGAGTGACTAACACTTTCACAGAGCCCACAGTGAATCCACAGCTTTCTTTTTAAGAAGCTGAGTTACTGTCTCTGTGATCACTCCTCCTTTCTAAATATAGCGTGGGATTTTAAATGACAAAAGTTCAGCAGGCTGCCTCCTGGGGAAAGAGGGGGTGGTTCACAGAAACAAGAGCTGTTAGACTTGGGTTACACTAAATCACCTTCTATTAAGTTCTGGTTCTGGTTAGTCAGACAGCTGTTTCCTTCTCTAAAAAGATACGTTTGACTTTCTGTTTGACCTAGGAATGGGAGGATCTCCTACAGGCAAATTCTCCAAAAGTGTTAGTCCAACTCTTTACAACCCCATGGACTGTAGCCCACCACGTTCAAAGGCTTAGTTAGTAAAAATCATTTTGGATTTGGGATCCAAGATGTATCTTGGGGTCTTGATTCTAGGATCCACTGAAGCACCCATTACAAGCTCTTAAGCTTCATCTAAGTATGATTCATGGTGAGGAGAGAAAAAATGTCTGACGCCCTGGTCTATAAAATGGGAAGAATAAGAAAGTCTCTGCATTAGACCTGAGACTACTGGTGTGAAGTGCTTTGGGTTCCCATGGGAGAGATGCTAGAGGAGTTCCAAGTGGTATTATCAAGCATAACTGTCTTTCCATGACCAAAGGGAAAATAGAAGTCAGAGTTTAGGCAAGGGTTAAAAAACAAACAAAAAAAAAACCCCAGTCGATTGAAGAAGCCAGTACTCCTTCAAGCCAGCTCCTAGTGGTTAAAATCCTGGGCAGTGTTACATTCTCTGTCCTAAACGATTTTCAGGATAATACAGAAGCTTTTAAAATAAATAAATCAATGCACTTATAGTGACATCTTTCTTCACTCCCTTCAGTTGTAATGTTAGATGTCTACCTTGTCAGAAAACTCCAGAAAAAGAAGACCCTAGATCTCCTTAGAGCCGTGGAATTTTTAAAAATCAGAACCAAATCTCCCTGACTCCCTGCAATTTTAGGTCTGCAGCTGAGCGGAAGCTGCAGCGAGATGTGGTGGAAAGAGCATGCATAACGACCTGGGCCATCATGACAATTCCCTCCCTCTGAACCTGTTTCCTCGTTTACCAACCCCGAGGACTGAATTTAGAGTTTATCACTAGGATCCCGTCCAGCTCTGACACTCCCTCTGGGAATGGATTCGTGGACGCCGGGCTCAGTGGGCGCCCACCGCGCCTCTCCGGAAGGTTTCGCTCAGAGCCCAGAGGAGAAACTAAACCCGGGAAAGCGAGACAAACGTGGGCCCAGAGACGCGGCTCCCAGCCCGGCGGGAGGAAAGCGTTGCTTTCTCTGGCTGTAGGGGAGAGAGGAAAATCAAGCAGACGGGAGGGTGGGCGTGGGGTTTCTTAAGCAGCTCCTGCGGGAGCCACCCGGCTGGGGTGCAGGGCAGACCCGGCGCGGGTGGAGCTCAGAAGCAGGGATGCTGCGCGGGAAGCGATGCAGGTCTGGGCTCCCGGGGTGCGGGCAGAAACGCTGACAGATCCGGGGGAAGAAGGCCAGGCGGGAACCGAGGGTGAGGGAGGCCCTCACCTTCCCGAGATCGAGGCTGTCCGGAGGGGCGGCAGTGTGGGCGCGCGGGGCGCGCGCCGGGGCTCACCTGGGTCTCCTCCTCGGAGAGGCCTGCCTCCGCCGCGATCAGGCACAGCGTGGTGGGGTCCGGGTGCTTGTTGACCTTGTTGAAGTTGTACTCCAGGATCTCCACCTGGTCCTCAGTGGGGCCGCTCGCGGGCTCGGTCGACATGGTCCCGGCGCGGCTGCTGGAGAGGGAGAAGCGGCGGTGGTGAGCGAGGCGGTGGGCAGGGCGCAGGGGGGAACGGCGATTCGGGCGCCCTCAGCCCGCGGGGCTGTCCCCGGCCGCGGTGGCGCGGAGCGCGGGTGTCCCTCGCTGCAGGCTGTGCCCGGAGCCTGCGCGGGGCCCTTCCGGGGGCGCGCCCAGGGGGTCCCCCCGTAGACCTGCGCGTCCTTGGGCCTCCCTCCTGACCCCTGTTTTTACAACAGGTTTCCCCGGGGCCCCTGCTCTGGGACAACGGGAGGAGGAGGCGGCCGCGCCCTCCCCGCCTTGAGGCTTTAAGGAAGGAGTGGAGGAAGAGCGGCGGTGATTTTTGAAAACCCGCCTTCAAACGCTTCCTCCGGGCAGAGGGAGCTAGCTGCCCTGGGGACAGTCCTGACGGAGCGCTGGGCTGGCAGCCCGGGTCCACGGCGGGACGCCTCACCCTGGCAAGCCCTGTTGCCTCTAAAGCGGTTTAGCACTTTGCAGCCTCTCCAGGGAGGGCGGTACACCCAACACCTCCTTCAGAGAAATAACCCAGAGGACAGAAGTTACTTTTCAAAGTTGGGAAACTGGGGGCGGCGCTTTTAATCTCTCCCTTTTACAATGGAGATAGGTCCGCAGCGCTTCACCCCTGCACTTCCCAGGGCCAGGGACTCAGCGGCAGGAGAAATTTCCACCTGAGGGCTTGTGTGAGTCACGCTGCAATCTGCAACCTCCTCCATGCCTTTACCCCAGGTTTTTCAAACTAAAGCTGTGAGTAGGAAGCCTCCTGTCAACCGGCTGTTCCTGGCCCAGCGTGGTCTGGACATGGTTCCGGCAGGGTACAGTAGAGTCCACTTCACTATGAGCCTCTCTAGATGAGGATTTCCAAGACAGAGCCCAAACCCAGCTGAGGAGGATCTACAGCAACTATCTTTTTAATCAGACATCCCCTGTGATTGTATTAAAAATAACTGCAAAGTCAAGAGAACAGCTTCAAGGTCTTCTATATTTCCTTACTTTAGAGCCAAACATTGCTCTAGCAGGGGCTTCTCAGATGCTGTTAGTGGTGAAGAACCACCTGCCAAGGCAGGAGACATAAGAGATGCAGGTTCAATCCCTGGGTCAGGGAAGATCCTCTGGGGGAGGGCATGGCAACCCACTCAAGTATTCTTGCCTGGAGAATCCCATGGACAGAGGGGCCTGGTGGGCTGCAGTCCATGCGGTCACAAGGTCGGACACGACTGCAGCAACTTAGCATGCATGTATGGATTGCTCTAGCAGATTTGAGCCAACATGACTTCCTGCTGCATGTCTCGTATTTAAGTAGCCTCTGAAATGGGGCTAAAAAATGGCAGATGTGCACCCCTCCCCTTCCCCCAGTTTAAGATGTATTGAGATAATAGGAAGTTAGAGTGTTCAAGTTCTTGGCTGAGGACTTGGGACAGACAGGTCAGGACTTGCCATTGCTGACAGTAAAACACAATCACATGTGTGGGAAACACCTTGGTTTGTTGTTTTAACAAACAGTTGCAAAATCGGCCAGCAGGATCCTGAGTGGATTTTGATGTAGCTTGTGCCTGGGGGTGAGCCGCAGTTCACTGACCCGCCTGCATAATGTCCCCGAGGCTGTGATACACTTTTCTACTGTGACATGCGTCCTGGGCTCCCTAAGTTTTTCTGTCTCCTTTTGGTCACTTGCAGAGGGTTTCCAGTGAGACAAGAAATCATTCTACTGTGAGAAATCCTGGGGTCAAGCCAGTTGTTAGGTCATAGTGAAACCTAGGTGTTTTTAGGCAGTTCTGTGCCCCCCAACTTTGAAATCTGTCCCAGTGATGCCTGTCACAGTGCTGAGGCAGGAAGAGGTTAAGCCAGGCCGTAAATGCCTCTTCTCCTGTTGGTACCTGTCCCCCTCTTTCTTTGACACAGAACTTCCAAGCTGGAAAGAACCTTGGTGCCCAGCATCCTAGAATGGAAAGCCTTGGCTTCTGTTTCAGCACTGTGCTCTTCTAGACCCTTCTCAACAGGCCATCCTGTCTTCAATTTGGCAGAAAAAATCAGGCAGGGGCTTGTTGCTATTTTGAATGGGCATTAACTGATCTCATAGGATACCAACTCCAGCCAAAGTTGCCCACTGGAACCACCCACCACTGCTCATTTTGCCTGGAAAAAAAAAAAGAAAACACAGGCAAGAGGAAACTGCTGCCTCTGATTTTATTCCTTGCCCTAGAAAGAATCCAACTATTTCCAGTGACATAGTTATGGTGGCTCTTCCAGGAAAATTTTTGCTGCTTCTTTGTAGAATCCCTGGTCTTTCAGAAGTGTTCATCAAATGCACAGATTTCTAAACTGAGCTCAGATTCAAGGACTGTTCCTCATGTACTCTTTTCCTCTTTTTGTTTCTTAACCATTATTATATGATTCAAAGGTGACGCGTTATTAATCAGGTGCATTTTCTCTTATATTTTTGTGGCTCCCTGTTACAGGACTTCGTATGAGGTTTTATGGATAGGTGCACTTGGCTTTAACGCATTCCTTGAGTTATTTGACTGAGGGCATTGGACTTGGTTGGTTGCTATGGGAGGATCATTAGAAAGTACCTACTTCTCTAAGGCACACCAAACAAACTTGATTTCTAGAAATGAGGATAGAAGATCTAACCACAATGGAGATCTCTACCTTTTATTTCTCCACAAAACTCAGTCTCTGTTGTGTCAGCTCTCTTTGGTTAACATGTGTTTGCTGATGCTCCTCCATTTCTTCTTTCCCTCTTTCTTTCAAAGGAAATTTATAAATCACATCACCCTAGTAACCTTGGCCTTATAAAACTTCTCAACTCTTTCCAGTAAGGAAACTGTTGAAAAATATCTCTGAAGGTAGTCTAAACAATGTCAGATGAAAGGAACTAAAAATATTTTAAAGCTTCTTAAACTTTACTCAACACAAGTTGTATCGTTGCTGTGGTTATTAATATCTTATGAAACATTCAAAGAGTCCTGTGGTTGTGTTTTCTTTTGTGGTTGCAAGAAGACAATACATGAAACTTTGCACAAGGTTAAATGAAAACTGCTGGCTTTTTTGTAAATTTCAATGCCTGGAGAGACATTTGTGCCAATCTTACAGCTTTACCTTTGTCCCCTAATCCTATAGCCATTTACTTATTTTTTTTTTTTTGGAAAGCATCTACCTATATGGACCAGGTCATGGAGAGTGTTACTAGCTGGAACCTGCAGAAATCTCTCTGGGCTCACATTTACCATCTTCTCCTCCCCTTCCCAGCCATGCTGACCTCTCTGTAATGCCGCAAATACCAAACTAAGAGAAAAAGGTTGTGAGTGGCATGGGGCTTCCTAGACTTTTCTGGTGGTCCAGTGGCTGAGAATCCTCACTCCTAATGCAGGGGCCCTGGGTTCAATTCCTGGTTGGGGAACTAGATCCCATAAGCTACAACTAAGACCCAGTACAGTCAAACAAATACATTTAAAAAGAAAGTGATCAGTGGCAGATACTCCTCATAAACCATCCCATGGTGAAATGACAAAACCAAGGAAGCAGAAGGATCATTCTTCAGGGTCATCTCCCAAGTTACTTTAGCCTGTGTCTCCATGTTCACTGTGGCCTTTCTGGGAGCAACGAGCTCCTGAAGCATTCTGTATTTTCCTAAGTGAAAACAATAGCATGCCACCATTTCTCCAAGGAAAGTGGTGAGTCTTTGGAAGCAGAGTTTTCTCCCTCGTCACTGACTGAGCTACTCTGGATGGAGTGCCGGAGGGGGATCGCCCCGGCTGCCAGTGTCTCTCAGAAATTGACACACAGGGGGTAGAATATTGATCTGCTTTCTCAGGCTAACACAAGTCTGTGTTAAAGGAAAGGACTTTTCTTGTTTTCATTTGTTCTTCAAATATGAACCTGGTGGTTAATGTCTTTAAGCTTAGAACAGTAGTTCTCATGCCTGCTGGGACTTACAATCACCTGTAGAAACGCCCGGGACCACTACAGACCTCCTGAACCAAAACCACACTGTAGGGAGCCAGCATGGCAGAAACACAAAAAGTATTTCAGCTCACACAAGCTTTTGCAACTTAGTCGTTAAAATCAACTATAAACATTTAGGACTTCTTATTTCTTATACTGTAAAGATGCTTTAAAGTACCTCCTAACTCTGCTGCTGTATATCATCTCAACACTTGAGCAGACAGTGGGTTGAGGTAGTTTTAAAGGAATAACTTCTAAAAATATACATTGGAGAAGAAATTTAGACATTACACTATACCTTTACCTTTACACTATACACTTTACCTTTCATATGAATTATTATGAGAAATTTCACTATGCTTTGAAAAATTCAGAAATAATATAAAACTCTTTAAAAATCTTTTTCAAATAGAACATATCCTTGGGCTTCCCTGGAGATTCAGTGGTTAAGAATCTGAGATCCCATGTGCTGAGGAGCATCTAAGCCCGTGTGCCACGACTACTGAGCCCGTGCAACAAGATAAGCCATCGGGATGAAAAGACAAGCCGCCGGAATGAGAAGTCAGAGCAGATGATGAAGAGCAGCCCCGGCTCACCTCAGCTAGAGAAAGCCTTCATGCCGCAGCAAAAACCCACCACAGCCAAAAAATAAAATAAATCTTTAAAAAAAAATTTTTTTTTATTTCAAGCTTTTTCTTTTTTTTAAATTGGAGTATGACTGCTCTACAATGTTGTGTTAACTTTCTGCTTCACAACTAAGTCTATACATATATCCCCTTCCTCATAGAAAAACACATTCCTGTGTTAGACTAGAATTTTTTTTTATTTATTTTTGGCTGGGCTGGGTCTTTGCTTTGCACGGGCTTTCTCTAGTTGTGGGTGAACACGAGCTCCTCTTTGTTGCGGAGCACGGGCTTCTCCCTGCGGTGGTTTCGCTTGTTCCAGGGCACAGGCTCTAGAGCTCGGACTCAGCAGATGTGGCCCACGGGCTTAGTTGCTCCATGGCATGTGGGGTC